TCTATTTCCATCCATTTGCCTGCAAACTTCAAGAAGTCCTTGTTTTTTACTGCTGAGTAGTACTCTAATATGTATATATTCCATACTTTCTTCATCCATTCTTCAATTGAAGGGCATCTAGGTTGTTTCCAGGTTCTGGCTATTACAAACAGTGCTGCTATGAACATAGTAGAGCATATACTGCAGCACGCCGCTCCTGCCAGCAGAAGAGACGACCGCAACAGGATTCTTCTCAGAACACACTTTATTGGAGCACTTACACTTGAGGTTGTAAGAGAGACAAAAGACCCCGTCCCCGTGAAGCAGAAGAATATATACGGTGCCAGACAAAGCCCTGACGTGTCATCAATCCACTGGCTCAGGCCAGAATGGAGTGATCGTGCTTAAATTATGATTGGCCAGATCGGATGGCCAGATCGAAATACTCCCGGCTTTGGGGGGGGGGGGGGGGGGGGCTCGCGCGCGCATGCGCTGTGCGTGCGCATGCGCACAAGTTGTCTGTCAAGTTGCTCACAAGCTGTCAAGTTTGACGTGGAACAGCAAATGGCGCCCAGGCTCCATGCCCCTGACATAACAGCGCCATGGTGCGCGCTACATCTCCGCGCGCTACATCTCCGCGCTCTACAATATACTTTTGTTGTATGATAAGGCCTCTCTTGGGTATATTCCCAAGAGTGGTATTGCTGGGTCCATGGGTAGGTTGATCCCGAATTTCCTGAGAAACCTCCACACTGCTTTCCAAAGTGGTTGCACGAGTTTGCATTCCCACCAGCAATGGATGAGTGTACCCCTTTCTCCACAACCTCTCCAGCAAAGGATATCATTGGTGTTTTTGATTTTCGCCATTCTGACAGGTATAAGATGGTATCTTAAAGTTGTCTTGATTTGCATTTCCCTGATCGCTAAGGAAGTTGAGCATGACCTTAGGTGTCTTTTGGCCATTTGAACTTCTTCTGTTGAGAGATCTCTGTTCAGCTCGGTGCCCCATTTTATAATTGAGTTGATTAGTCTTTTACGGTCTAGTTTCTTGAGTTCTTTATATATTTTGGAGATCAGACCTTTGTCAGTTGAAGGGTCGGTGAAGATCTTCTCCCAGTCAGGTCTTAGCAACAGTGTCCTTTGCTTTACAGAAGCTTCTCAGTCTCAGGAGGTCCCATTTATTTAATGAGGCCCTTACTGTCTGTGCTGCTGGGGTTACACGTAGGAAGTGATCTCCTGTGCCCATGTGTTGTAAGAGTACTTCCCACTTTCTCTTCTATCAGGTTCAGTGTGTTTGAACTGATATTGAGGTCTTTAATCCACTTGGACTTGAGTTTTGTGCAAGGTGATAGATATGGGTCTATTTTCATTCTTCTACAGATTGATATCCAGTTTTGCCCGCACAATTTGTTGAAGGTGCTCTCTTTTTTCCATTGTATACTTTTAGCTCCTTTACAGAGCTACAGCATTGAAAACAGCTTGGTATTGTCACCAACCTCTTAAGGCCCCTAAAAGGTTCATAGGCACATATGCTTGAAACCAAAATTTTTCACCAAGAACTTTCCAAGTGTAGCTTTTTATATGAGTCACAAAGACCACTATCCTCTACAGAACACTTACCTAGTAGTCTCCACTGATGGCATAACATCAGTTCTTGAGATAGTTCCTATAACCAATGTTTTCATCATCTCAAAATAACTCTGTTATTCTCCTTGTTCTGCCTTTAAAGACACTTGGTTTTATTTGTGTTGATACAACCAAAATTTACAAAGGCAACTACATCACCCATTGCAGTGTTCTGCTATTATCTATTAAACTAGTTTCTTTTGAAGAACTACCCTGTCATTTAATTTCACAGAAGTTAATTTGGACACAATTGGGGGTGTGGGGTTCTCTGCAGACTCCCCAGGGCGATGGTTCCTGTAATAATTTTAGGAGGAAATGTCTCCTGACAAGGGGTTGTTGATTATTACTTGTACTAGATAGAGGGTTGGGGTGAAAACTATGTTTGTTCAAAAAAGGGGGGATAGTAATAATGGGTAATAGAGTGAATACTTGTGAGCTATTATTCATGGATAATTTACATTGGTATATTTTTTGCATATTGATACAAATTCAAATTATAATTGTTATTTTTGTTTACATTATTTGTACACCTATACAAAGTTATTCTGTCAGATTGTGTACATGCATATTCTTACTTCTGTTTAGGACATTTTCTATATTGATACAACTTTTAGGATATATTTTCATATTGCATTATTGCTCCTACCTCTGATCAAGATACTTATAGATTGTTTACATTTTGAAGTCATTGTCCTCATTTGTTGCACATTTGTTTACAGATTATTTAATATTCTGACATGAAGTTTTAGTCTTTAAGTTATACCAGTATGAATTAGTATAGGTCAATAATTGTTCATGTTTATTGTACATACAGTCAGATCAATTAGGTTCTTTAGATACATAGAGATTGTATTCTGTCTAGATAGGTAATCTTCAACCACTTCAAGGATCTGTGGAACATGGCATTTAAATAATTTAGGGTTCTGTTGACATGAGACTTGATTGCTTCTGACAGCACCAATCTATTCCTGAAAGAATGTTGAGCACTGAAGACACTCCACTTGGAGGTTGTTTTCTTCTTGGCAGAACTGGCCTTAGGGCAAGGAAATGACAATGCCTCAACCACTGACAGGTTACATGATATCTGGTAATGGATAAGCAGGACTGTTAAATCTTGCCAAGACAAGGTAAGATGGTTTTGAAAATTTTTCCTGCCTCTAAAAATAGTCTGTCAGTTACACTAGGCCTTAGCCAAAGTTGGTTGCTTCAACGTAGCAAATGAGACTTTGGGTGATTGCTCAGATAGCTAATTGTCTCCATCATATATTGTTTGCTTTGGAAGCTACTTGATTGAACTTCCTGCCTGCTCAAATAATATTATCACCCTTCTCAGGCCTCCGATGGGGTTGAAGATTAGATAGTCATAGTTACTGTACTCTTATGATCTAGCCAAACAATTTCCTATGAATAGAATGTTTATTAAAACATTTAGCATATGTTCTTTGCTTAATATTGTTAATACTGGTTGTAATTTTAATTATACTTGATATTTGTTCTTAGTGTATATAGTTTTGTATTGGGTTTGGAACTCTCTTATTTAAGCAAAAGGGGGAGGTGCTGTGGGAGCCCATTCTGCTCCTTCAGCCAATAGCCTTTAAGATACCAGCCCACTTGGGCATGGTCTCATACTGTAAAAGCAGCAGTAACCATGTACCTGCTCTCTTGCATCCAGCTCCTGGTTCTGGCTGATAGACTCTGTTCCTGTTCACACAGAGGACTGTTGTCTAGGACAGTGATCTGTAGGTTTTCCCCTTAAATAAATAACCCTTTTATTATTCGTAATTTTGAACTGGTGTGGGATTGTTTTGTGACTTATATCATCAAGCATGAGCATGGGAGAGATCCCACCCCACTGCTCATGAATGCCTAAAGCAGGTAGGAGAACTGACCACAAAGTTATGAGTAGAAGAGCTGTCACTGCCCCTGATCAGCAGCAGCTCTGGGGAGAGGGACCCCTATGCCATCCTGGACAACACTGTAGAGCTGATCTGAAGGTGTAGATGTGGGAGAACTGACCCTGGGGACAGGAAAGCAAAAGAACTGGCCCTGCCCATTGTTCACCACTGCAGGGTGAACTAGCCAGGGCAATGCTGGAGAGTTCATTGTGATGGTGAGGACAAGGGAGATCTGGCAGACTGACCAACCCTGCAACTACCCAATCCTAGAACCAGAGTTATAAGTTGGCCCAGCCCAACGTCTGCACCACCTGTGATCTGCTGGAATGTGTGAAGGAATCAGTCCTGCAAACTACAGGATAGCCTATCCAAAGCTACAGGATCTCCATGATACAAGGCAACAACAGTATAGCCAAAAGGGGTTCCAGCGAGGGTCCAGCATTGATAATGTAGCAGAAAGCAGAGGACTTGAGTAAGACCAATGACTTTTTGCAATAAACATCTGCAAGTAATGATATATGGACAAATGGGATAGGGGAATGATTCTAGCCTGTGAAATGTGAACTTGCAAGTTATCATGATACTTAAAGCCATGTAACCAGATGCAAACACCATGGAAATGAAGGGCAAAGAAATGACTTCAAAATTAAGGGACTAAGGAAATGTAGTCAATTTATTTTTAAGTCTATAAGAGAAAAAATTAATTTAAAAATTTAAGATTCCATGGTGCCAAAGTGCTAAGATGTGACTGCTAAATTCTCAGCCATCAGTGAAGCATCTGCATCTCATGCTCCAAGGCTCAGTAACATCACAGAAGGGAAGTAGGGGCCAGAGGACAGAGAAGAGCACTATAAAATACTGTCTTCTGTATATGACTTGTCTGTCACAGTTATGAACACACAGCAGCTATGGCTGCCTACTTTAAATGAGTATGCAAAGAGATAAAATAAATGAGCACAGTATTGAGGATAGTTAAAAAGAACAGACCTGTTCCCACCCATTGCAGCCCCATTAGCCACTCAGCAGGCAAGGCTTCTGCAGATAGACCACTCCACTACCACCCGCCATCAAAACCTGTAATCTACAAGTCCCACTCTGCCTCACAAACCCACCCATCCCCCACGACCTCAGCCTTTTCTCAACACAGATGGGATCTGTACCAATTGGACCAAGAAGTGAGTGACTAGTCTTGTAGTTTGGCAACCCAGTTTCTAGGTTCTAGGTCTCAGGACACACCCTGAGCCCACCACCATCCATCACAGCTCTACTAACCAGTCCACAGGCAGGCAGTTCCACCACTAAACCTCAGTGGACCCTGTAATCTAAAAGCTGCACTCCACCCCACAACCCAACCATCCACCTAGGTGTCAGGGGTCCCGGTAGGAACAGATACACCCTGCACTAATCTCATTAAGCGTGCCCCCAGGAGGCACAGGACCTTGGCTAGGGATCAACATAATAAAAATGGCCATCTTACCAAAAGTAGTCAGATTGATTACTATTATATTTGTCATCATAGAACCTTCATTCAGTAGTTGATGGGAGCAGATGCAGAAATACAGAGCTAAGCATTGGACCAAGCAACTGGAGTCGAGTTGGAGAGGGTGGAGGGATTATATGAGCAAGAGGGGGACAAGATCATGATTGGGAAACACACAGAGACAGCTAACCCAAGCTAGAGGGAGTTCATGGATTCTGGACTGACAGCTAAGAAATCTGCATGGGACCTAGGCCCTGTGAATGTGGGCGACAGTTGTGTAGCTTGGTGTGTTTGTGGTGCTCCTGGCAGTGGGACCAGGACTTATCCCTAGTGCCTGAATTGATTTTGGGGAGCCCATTCCCTATGGTGGGATACCTTGCTAAGGCTTGATACAGGGGCGGAAGGCTTGGTCCTGCCTCAATTTGATGTGCCAAACTTTGTTGACTCTCTATGGGAGACCTTACTGTCTCTGAGGAATGGCTGAAGGATAGGGAATCGGTGGAGGGAAGAGCAGGAGGATGGGAGCAAGGGAGACCTGTAGTTGCTATATAAAATGAAAATAAAATAAAGAAGCTGAAGAAAGATTGGTACTTCTAATCCCAGAGAAAGAAGCAAGGGAAATTACCCATAGAATCATGGGTAAATACACTATTACACAGAAGGCTTTAAACTGATTTTAAACACTTCTGGCTTTACTGCTTGCAGGGAGGGGATGGACAGCAGTGTCTGTCTTGCAACATAAGATTCATGGTGCAGCTCAAAATTAAACATTAGTAAAGAAGAGAGTGTATACCATCTGGAAAAATACCTGGACCTCTCTGGACCTTCAGATTTCTCTTCCCCAAGTCCACAGTTTAATTTGAAACTAAGAAGGGGTAGGGAAAATAGTGACTGCTGGCTTCCTGCTGAGTGTTCTAGAGGTGAGGAGCTGTCCACATGGTGGGCATCATTCTTTTGTCTGAGGTTTTTGTCCTGCCTAGTTCCCTCAGTCATTAAGTCCCTCCCCCTAAAAAAAAAACACATGGTGGTCTACATTAGTTATAAACTGATTGGCCCATTAACTCAGGCTTCTTATTAACTCTTATAACTTAGCCCCATTATTCTTGTCTATGTT